TGACTTATGAAGAATCATGTGACACTAAAGACTGGAGTAAAAAAAAAAAACAGCATTGCAACAAAGGTATAATAAGGAATAAATTACATTTTGCAATATATTAAAGGGATAGTTCACCCAAAAATTAAAATATGTTTATCTGCTTACCTCCAGGGCATCCAAGATGTAGGTGACTTTGTTTCTTCAGTAGAACACAAACGAAGATATTTAACTCAAACCGTTGCAGTCTGTCAGTCATATAATGGAAGTGAATAGGAATCACGGCTTTGAGAGTCAAAAAAACATACACAAACAAAACCAAATTAAAGCCTGCGGCTTGTGACGATACATTGATGTGTAAAGACACGAAATGATCGGTCTGTGCAAGAAACTGAACAGTATTTGTATCGTTTTTTTCCTCTGATTCACCGCAATGTCCGAACTGTCCTGAGCGCATGACGCGTCTTCTTCTTTTGATTCTATTGACACTCCTAATTGAGATTGTAGATAGTGTCAATGGTCCATTTGAGAGATAGGTGGCGGTAATGCACTTATAAGTCTGCGCTCCACATCAAGGACGCAATAATCTCACTGATGTACTAGCTCAACTATACAAGCCTTTTCAGCTCCGCTCTTCTCCCACAATGCCTTGCATCATCGTCAGGTGTGTGACTAGCACTCATCAAGGTTGAAGGCCACGTTACCAATTTCTCTCTTTTTAGACGTACAGCTCGCTGGCTTTTTTGTGCTCTCCACTTTCAAGTTTCCTGTGAACTTCACATCAAACGGCTGAAGCCCTGTGCACCGGCTTTGAAGTGCTGGGGAGAGCTGAGCTCTGCCATCCCCTTGTGCTGGCGCTGGTAAAAAGCTGCCATGCTAAAAAAGTCAAAGACCGCAGGGAACGGACAGTGAACTCCAGCCTCTCCGCCCTCCCTGTGCACCGAATGGAGTCTTTGAAATGTATTCCACTCTTGATAATGATGTTTCAGCACTGCTGTCAGCCACGACTGGAGGTGTGAGCATGTGTCGGGATTTGGACCTTTCAAGGTTTTGTTTTGCCAGAATCACTCACAAACTATAAAAGAGAGACTATGCAGTGTGAATGAATACTCATAAGAGAGGGTATTCAAATATAAAAGCTGCGGTCACACTAGAATTTGAGCACTCAAAAAAAATTGATGTATGACATCACGGTCTGTATTCAAATCATAATTTCAAGATACGATGAATAATAATGAATCCACATGTAAAAACACAATCTACAGTTTCCTGAAACGTTACAAGCCTGTAGTTTGAAGTTTGTGTTCTTTGAATTCAGCTAGATTGTGTTCATTTAGGCTAATTGATTATAATTGCTGTTAATATGCAGAATTAGATTTAGTTTTTCTATTTTCTGTCACTTTAATTTTAATCAATATTTTAGTGATTTTGTTGTGTGCTTTTGTCAATTTTATTTGTTAAAAAGATGCCTATATAGTCTTTTTTAAACTTTTTATGTATTAATTTGACTTTAATTTTTATTTATTTAAGTAATTCAACTCAAACTAATGAAAATGAAAAAATGTTGCCTTGGCAACTAGCTGAAATAAAATAATAAAATAATTTTTATATTTTATTTCAACTAACATTTATTTTATTTTGATGAATTATTACAAAAAAGCGAAACATTTTATTATAATGAAAATGATTTTTTAAAAATATAATTTTAGCATGATTATTATCATTAAAGGGATCGTTCACATCATTTACTTACCCTCACTTTGTTTCAAACCTGTATGGGTTTCTTTCTTCTGTTGAACACAAACGAAGATATTTTGAAGAATGTCGGTACCCAGTCAGTTGCTGGTTGCCATTGACTTCATTCTTCAAAATATCTTCTTTTGTGTTCAACAGAAGAAAGAACAGTTTTGAAACAACATGAGGGTGAATAAATTACAAAATGTAAATTTTTGGTTGAACTGTCCCTTTAATGATAATAACCATGCTAAGAGGTCACACTATGATGTATCAATTTACAGGTCAGAGTTCACCAAACCAGAAGCAGCGAAACATTTTTGCATGAGCTCGCGTTTCCAGTCTCCAGTGTTTGCAAGCATATGAATGGAATTCAATGGAACAAAAAGTGTAATGACCGCTCCTGTGTGACAAAAAAGTTACAATGCTAATCAAACCAAAACGTGACATATCTCTATGTTTGAGCTTTATAAAGCCTAATAAAATTGATTAACTAAAAAAAGTCCTAAAATGTGCTTAGTAAGGGAAGAGGACGGACTCATTCGAATTTGTAACATGTTGTTGTGTTAATTTTGTATCTTAGCAAGGCTTTGAATGTCTGGTACTATGGCGGAACCCAAAATCGCATGGGCCTACTATATTTAACTATAGTAACCATGCTTTTTTGGTTTTATTTGTCGTTAAACCATGGTTAATTTTCGTAAGGGTGTGAGCTAGGGCTGCACGATAAATCGCATGCGATATTTAACGCGCATCTTGTCAGTAAAGCCAGTTCTGTAATCAGCGCTAAATCTCCATCACGTGCGTGATTTCATATTGAGCAGCATTAACTACACAGAGCCGTTGTTCACTGACGAGCTGCGCTAAACCACGTTCATATTCACGCGATTTTTTGCGCAGCTCGTCAGTTTAAGTTTTACTTACTTTTACGATGTAAGCTAGTACTTCGAAAGTATGTAGATCAACCTTTGGAACCTTGGTTATGTGGTTTATGTTTTATTAGCTTAAGTGAAAAATAACTGTGTATGTTTCTCTCAGTGTTCATTTTTATGTTACATAACAAGTCGTGTTTAGGAAGGCACGCGCGCAGGCTGATGACGTCATAGTTCGGGGGCACGTTGCAGACGTGACAGGCGAGCGAGCGGCGGGCGCTAGGACCCGGCAATGCCGGAGTGATTTATCTCCTCATCCATTACATTCCCCTCATTTATTCAGTAGATCCAGAGAGCGCAGCACAGCACAATAACTCTCACACACTTTCAATTCCAACCATATTCACTGCACGGTAGCAAAATGGTGAGGACCGAGAGGCAAAGAACAGAGGTGAAGGCTGAAGACTTGTTTCTGGAGTCCGAAACGTCTTTGGATCAGCAAGATTTTGAGATGTCTACTTGTCCTTTCAATGACGTCTTCAACTCCAGAGACTCTTCCATGATAAACACTTTCCTGAAAAATGTGCAGGTTTTATTGGAGGCTGCGCGTTATATTGAGAGCGCCGAGAGGAAGGATGGAAGTAAGTGAAATTATAGTGCACTTATGAGTGATTTCGACTCATTTGCGTAATGCAGACAAACTGTTTCATTGTCAATAGACTCAGACAACAAAGGACTGAGTTCAACGAACAATCAGCCAAGTAGACGAGGAACATGTGCAGTATGCCCCGATATGCGATGCACAGACACAATGCTTTTAAAGGATCAAGTTTCCCAAATGTAAAAGGAGACCTTTTTATATTTTAGCATTTTTATAATACACATAATGCATAAACTTTAATTGTTTCAGGGCTATTTTCAACTGCACATAGACGTATAACGCCAAATCTCACATATCTGTATTTTATTGCATGTGTCAGAGACACAAAAACAGGTGTATAATTCCCTCTGCAGCGCACTTAATGTCCCAAATCGCAGGCTGGCTGTCCCAAGCTGGCATGCTCTGTCATACGGGGCAGTTCAGAGTCTGGCATTGTTCGGCAGAGAGACATGCCAGGCAGTTTGCCATCTCTTTCTCTCGAGGAACATAAACAAGTATATAAATAAATAATAAAGGCACAATACAATAAAGGCTGACGTCACCTCTTACTGTGGTAGACTGTAATGTGCACCTTTAACTCTCCATTACGCACCTAGTAGAAGAGTGTATGTATGATGATTAAACGTTTATCGTATAAATAAAGGCATTTGATCACATGAAGTTGTTTTTGTTTGAGCATTATATTGTGCTTTGTCTAGATAGGCAATTGTAGGAAAATATATTTGTTGCCTATGTTTTTTATTTATGATGATGTTTAAGGCTGATTGCGTCTATTATGCAACTATTATAAAGAGAGATTAATATGAAGCACTTTAGAAACAATAGACTTTGATCACGCTTTCACCATTCGGTCTTATTCGATTTATTTCATTATTATTCATTGCGATTTAAAGCAAACCCGAGTCACACCGGGGAAATCTGAAATTTTATATGCAGACTGCATATTTCTACTTCAAAAGAGTTCTCCAATTCGCCTTCCTGTTTCCTAGGGGGTGTGTTCACATGACATCCACATGGCGCACGTTGCGCTGCTCTGATTGGCTAGAGCGCATTGCGTTGGCGGACGCTTACTAGGCCTCTGGCCAATCACGGCGCTGCGGTGCTGGGATGTCATATGTTGCTGGGCCTGGCTTAAACGGCACTGGAAGTGAGGGATTGTGGGAGTTGAAGTGCGCAGTATCAAAACGTGAAAAATGGCAAAACCGTCATTTTTAATCATTAAATGTAACGCAGATTGCATGGATTGTTACATGGCTGCTTCTAAAATTAAATGCGAAAGAAATTAATTACTGAAATATAGATTTGAGATGCAATTGGTATTAGCTCGGAGTGCACAATTATGTAGGAAACCCAGGTTTCAGTTACAGCATCTCCCTGTACAACGGTTGCTATTAATAATAATAATAATAATAATAATAATAATAAATAACGAATACAACAGTAAGCTGTATATTAATGAATATAAAATGAGTTTTTCTTGGTATGTTTTAATCTCATTGGCTTTACATTTCTAGATATTCTTAAGGTAGACTTTGTCTAATATGTGTATAAATGTATTTAATATTAAATACTCGCTCATAAACTAATACTAAAGATAGAGTTAACCATTCAAGCAAGGTTATTCTTTTAATAATTAATGGCATAATAATAAATCAGCGTGTCCTGTTCCGAGTTAAAGGGCCGCGAAGGACTACATTTCCCATAATGCCCCGCGCGGAGGTCTCTATCCTCTCAGCTGTTAAAACAGTAGGTAAACAAACTAGAGGAGGAGAAAACAGCGCAAGCACCAGGGACTTCGCAGGCTGGGCTCTTTTGTACCTGTTTCTATTCGTTTTATACACTTTGTATTCGACTGTTTTCCTAAAGCACTTTTACTACTTTGATATTCAGGCGTCGGGTTTTTTTTATTTGTGTTTGATTTCCTGTAACTAGCTTGGTAACAGTGTAAGGAAATACCTCGAGTCTCGACGGTTCAGCAAATAGAAACACAAACACAAAAACAGGTGAATCGTCGGAGGATATTCAATGCGACGCGACAGCTTGCCATCGTGATCCGATATCAGAAAACGACACGCATCTAGATTTATTCACACGATGACTGCTGTGCTGAATATCCAGAGGTTACTGGAAGCAGCCGAATATATAGAAAGGAGAGAAAGAGGTACATGGTATTGATATTTATAACTGTCCTGTCACAGAGGCCAACCTGTGAATTGACTGTGTTTTGAAGTGCACGAGGTATTTAAAGGGACTTGACCCGTGTCTGGTCAGATGTGACACGTTTCTGTGGTGTCTTTTTCAGAGAGTGAACACGGATATGCCTCGACCCTTCCGTCTGTTCAGCACTCCAGCTGCCAGAGACAAAGGAAACACCGAAATAAAAAGTGCAGCAACAACCACAACAGGTAAGCGCATGATCTGGCTCTCCACTTCCACGAGAGGGGGGACACTGCTGGAGAAGAGCCAGAGATCACACTGCTGTGACATCTCTCACGACCAGTCACTGCTTAATAGTGGCTTGAGTCTGTGCTGATGTAATTTCTAGAACATTTTCTAGTCGCCTTTTAGTTTGTGGCTTGTTTTTGATATGTTGAATAAAACAATATAAACTTTCAAATGCATTTTATAAATATAGCAAAGGATAGCAGATATATATATTTTAATGGAATAGACATTTCTGCTTCTAAAAGGTGGTGTATTAGTATTTTTTGTTGTTGCTTGATTTGTTATTGGGGGAGGGAGCTCTCATCAGCTGATTGTCAAACTGGACTGCTGCAGCGTTGAGGTTAGGGACCGTGCAAAACCTCACGTCCTGTTTTCGCCTTTGAGCGCCATTTGGTTTCGTTTTGTTTGAACCGAAAGTCTGCAGTGTCGATATCTTTGGTGTATTTTGACGCGTCTGCGGTAATGTCCGCTATAGAGTCAGTGGGGGAAGAAAACAAATCAGGTTGAACTATTGGTTTTCACGAGAAGAGGAGCCTACTTTAAATGTGCCCCGGACCCTTGAACGCACGGCTCTTATTTACAGCAACTCTTTGTTTTCAGGCTGCCAAGGTGAACAGCCCGAGGCGTCTTTATTAAATTCATTTCCCACGTTATTCTCCTTCTAAAACATGTTTTGGAATATTGTCACCGTTCTTTTTCTGCTAAATGTCGATTTGATAAAAGAAACTAATCGAAAATGCAATAACAGGCGTTTTAATCCGTCTATTAAAAGGCGCTTTGTTAAATCACGAAAACGGTGCGGGGCTATGATGCCAATAAATGTTATGTTGGTAGACAGCTTGTTTGAGATGGCCAATAATATCATCCAGGTAGGCAGCTCACTAGATTTTGTGATGCCCAGAATTGGCAACTGGGTAGACAGTGCGAAAGTTAACCAAAAACATGGTTATTATAGTTAAATCATGGTATTTGTAGTAAAACTGTGGTTATACAAACGCAATCTATCTGCCAAAAGCCATGGTATACTGCATGTTTAATTTTCGTCAGCGTTGGTTTATTCATGTTTAACATACCATCTAGGTTGGTCACTTTTTTTGTGATGCCTAAAATGTCGTCTGTGTAAGTAGTTCACTAGGTTTCGAGATGCCCAGAATTTCTTTCACTGTAGGCAATTTATCAAGTTTTGTGTTGCCCCCCCCCCCCCCCCCAAAAATGTCATCTAGTTACAGGTTTTGAGTTGACCAAAAATGCCATCTAGTTACAGGTTTTGAGTTTACCAAAAATGCCATCTAGTTACAGGTTTTGAGTTGACCAAAAATGCCATCTACTTACAGGTTTTGAGTTGACCAAAAATGCCATCTAGTTACAGGTTTTGAGTTGACCAAAAATGGCATTTAATGGCAAATATAACGATCAGTAGCCTATACTAAACATCGCACATCCTGCGATGTGACTATCGCGGATGCGCACATCGCGATATTGATGCTGAAACGATATATTGTGCAGCCCTATTTCGAGTTGACCAAAAATGCCGTCTAGCTACAGGTTGAGTTGACCAAAAATGCCGTCTAGCTACAGGTTTTGAGTTGACCAAAAATGGCATCTATCGATAGGTTTCGAATTGACAAAAAATGCTGTCTAGGTACAGATTTTGAGTTTATCAAAATGCCTTCTAGCTACAGGTTTTGCACTGACCAGAATGCCATTTAGGTGAGCAGCTCACAAGGGTTATTTTTTCCTCTTCTCTTAGACGCAATGTGCGTGTGAGTATGTTTAGTGTGGTGTCAGTTCCGTCTGTTTTGTTTCACTGCATTTCTAAGTAACAGACATCTTGATGACTGATCTCAGGTCTGTGTTACTGTACACAAAGCGAGCACTGATGGAGGAAATGTAAAGGAAACACTATCTGATCATCTGGCATGCCTGTGTGTGTCTCGAGTTGACCAAAAATGCCGTCTAGCTACAGGTTGAGTTGACCAAAAATGGCATCTATCGATAGGTTTCGAATTTACAAAAAATGCTGTCTAGGTACAGATTTTGAGTTTATCAAAATGCCTTCTAGCTACAGGTTTTGCACTGACCAGAATGCCATTTAGGTGAGCAGCTCACAAGAGTTATTTTTTCCTCTTCTCTTAGACGCAATGTGCGTGTGAGTATGTTTAGTGTGGTGTCAGTTCCATCTGTTTTGTTTCACTGCATTTCTAAGTAACAGACATCTTGATGACTGATCTCAGGTCTGTGTTACTGTACACAAAGCGAGCACTGATGGAGGAAATGTAAAGGAAACACTATCTGATCATCTGGCATGCCTGTGTGTGTCTCCCGAGAAGAGGTCATTCAGGCTGTATCGGTTGAAATGAAGGTGGTGGAAAGATTGTGAGGAAAAAATACTTTTCCACATGTTTAAAAAACTATGTGGGGCATCCTCATTTTTGTTTGTTTTGTATGCCTTTGGCAACCCACATTTTTTAGCATTAAAATACAAGATTTTTTCACTTCTGCTGCAAATAATAAATACAGAATACGCCAGTGTTACACTGTAAGAAAAACATCCATAGAAAAATGAAAATGTACAGGTAATTTCCTACCAGGACATTAAGTTTACGGACACTTGAACCCTTGAACCCTGACACTTGAACCCTAAATACAACACAATGCAGAATTGTATTTCATTGTGTGTATTGTAATGTATTTCAAAACAACAGGTAAAAACCCGTGAAAATCAACACTGTGTGCCATTTATACGGTCTTTTCCTAGAGTGTATGTCTCTTGACACTACACATCCTATCACACAAAAATAAGAGCTGTGAAAACACATGCATACTGTTCGTTTTTTTATGTCTTTTCCTCCCTCGCACTATTCCTCCTCCCCCTTGAGCTTGCAAGCATCCTCCCGTGCAAAAGCGGCAATACCATAAGGTCAGCTACAGGATGCCTGAAAACACGATCTTGGTATTAATAGTCGGGAAGGGAAAGTGGTCACATGACCCATGGAGAAGTAGGCCCTCGCTGCATCCACATCTTGCTGCCCCTACAACGGCTTTGCCGTGCACCGGTTCAGCCGGCCATTTAGAGCTTTGGAAAAGCTTTCAGCATGTTGCCACACAAAGAGTCTCTTAGGGGGACGGCTGATTCACTTTACATTATTAACATAACACTGACTCGTGCGAGAGAGCGAGAGCGTAAGGTAAAAACCCGTGAAAATCAACACTGTGTGCCATTTATACGGTCTTTTCCTAGAGTGTATGTCTCTTGACACTACACATCCTATCACACAAAAATAAGAGCTGTGAAAACACATGCATACTGTTCGTTTTTTTTATGTCTTTTCCTCCCTCGCACTATTCCTCCTCCCCCTTGAGCTTGCAAGCATCCTCCCGTGCAAAAGCGGCAATACCATAAGGTCAGCTACAGGATGCCTGAAAACACGATCTTGGTATTAATAGTCGGGAAGGGAAAGTGGTCACATGACCCATGGAGAAGTAGGCCCTCGCTGCATCCACATCTTGCTGCCCCTACAACGGCTTTGCCGTGCACCGGTTCAGCCGGCCATTTAGAGCTTTGGAAAAGCTTTCAGCATGTTGCCACACAAAGAGTCTCTTAGGGGGACGGCTGATTCACTTTACATTATTAACATAACACTGACTCGTGCGAGAGAGCGAGAGCGTCCACTGGCACTCACTCATTGTACGAAGAGGAGAGCTCTCTCACGTGCTCACATATAGACTGGTCGTTGTGCTCGCTTTCTCTGCTCTGCACACTTCATTTCTCTGTCTTTACGCTGCAAACAAAGAGTTGCAGTGACATGTGGGTCATTTAGAGGAGCCTTTTATAATTCCTTCTGGAGCCACTGGATTGGTTGTGGCTGGTTCAACCCCCCAATAAAGATTAATTAGTAAATCCTTTGGAACCTTTAATGATGCATAATCTTGTTCTTTATGAGCGGCCAGGCTTTTTTCCCTCATACATGTTCTCTGATCTCACGATGAGAGGTGACGTTTAAATCTGGAGATAAGTGCTCAAGAAATGAGCTTATGCTTATGATGGGGGTTATGAGAAAAACCTTGCACTTATTTCCTCACAGACTCACAAGAAAGTTGATGTTTGCTCATTCATTGCTTCTGTTTTGTTTTATAGGTCCACACACAATGAGCTGGAGAAAAATCGGTAAGTACGATTTTTAAGGTATTGTTTTTTTTATTTTATTTTTTATTTTTTTTAACCTTAATACTGAGAACACTGGCAATGATAGGAAATATCACAAGCCAATATCACTTAAACTTGCCTCAACCTCATGAGCACCACAACTTGAACGTGCGCTAATTGTCATGATTACAAATAGGTAGAGCTGTCGTGATTCGTCGATTTTATTCGACTATTCGATTTTTTTAAAATCCTCGACTTCATTTTGCTTGCGTCAACTAACCGGCAAAATACTGGAAGTGGCACATTTCACGGACGAGAATCCATAAAACACATTTTTAGACTGTTTCCCAAGGCTGCATGATATATTAAACCCATTTAAAAAATCATAATTAAGCATAATTGTGAATTCACAAACACTACGATTTAATTAAATAATTAGGTACCTAAAAGTGAAACTAAGAGGTGACCCAATTCTGCAAATCTAAGGGCATTCCCTCTCCTCATGGCACACCCGCCCCTCGGTCCTGCATAACTACTGCAGCCTCAGCTTCAGATTACTGCCCAGAGTCCAGGGAGACAACAGAAACGATAGACGCACTCATATGTCCGTTCTTTCACAATGTCATTTGCATAATAGGATGTTCACAGAAGGAAACCGGTTATTACTGTAGGTGTACATTATTTGAAGAATACAAGTGTGATTTCTTTGAAATATCCCAAACATATGGGTAGTGTTTTTCTTTGAAATCGCCACCTGTGGGCATAGTGAACGCAATGCATGAGTGTTTACAGATGATGGACTGTATGTTCTGGACTCATGAGTGCTTATCTGATAGGTATTAGACACCGACAATGCGGGGCCTGCTGTTTAGGCTCTATGCACGCGAATACTGAAGGCTCCACTTCAAAGACCGAAAATAACTCTCGTCTAGACTAACAGGAACTCCTTTGTGACACTCTATATGAAAACCTGGAGCTCTATTAACTTTTCTTAAGCACAGCTTAGTCATGGAGTGTCACGTTTATTTGTTTGCCAGTCATTTTAGATGGGACATGGGTGAGATTGGAAACTTGGACAAAGAATTTGCTGCAGAATCATTGGTGGACCAAAGCACACAGTTTTACTTGAGTAGTTTTAAATGCACCATATGTATGTGAGCATGCAATAGACTCATCTCCTACCAGACTGGCTGGGTTTCTCAGATAATGTCTACACATGTGAAGGGTTGTCAGTGCGCTGGCGTGGGGTTGTATGGGTTTGGTACAGATAAAGAGGACAGGGCTTGTCAGACAGCCTTTAGTGTCAGCACAAACAAATATTACACAACACATTATGATGACGGCACAGTCAGCAGCCACACCCAACACAAGACCATATTACCCCTGACCAGTGGCGGCTCGTCGGGGGAGGCAGGGGAGGCATAGCTTCCCCAAAAGTTTGAGGTGAAAATGGGAGGAGGATGATTTAATATTAATAAAATTCACAATTAATTTCAGTTCATATCTCAGAACATGTATTTTTTGTTTGTAATTTCACAGCTGTAATACCATAACATGTTACTGAAGTTGGAAAGCGCCGCTTTTCTATCACGAATGTGCCAAATCTGCTGATGTAATTACAATCGCTAATGCTAGAGAAGGGTAGGGGGAGGCTGGGGGAGAGCTGAGCTCCCGTGCCTCCGTTGGTTAAAAAAAATGAGCCAATCACCATTGAGTGTTCACTTTCAGTGCTGAGGAGTGTTGAGAAAAGAAACCTCGTAGAGGAGGCTAGCCTCCCTTCTGATATCAACCAATCATCATAGAGACGTAAATTACGTGATATTAGTTTGAACGTCTGCCGCTGCGCTGATAATGTACCAAGTACTTACAGCTTCCCCAAAAGTTTGAGGTGAAAATGGGAGGAGGATGATTTAATATTAATAAAATTCACAATTCATTTCAGTTCATATCTCAGAACATGTATTTTTTGTTTGTAATTTCACAGCTGTAATTCCATAACATGTTACTGAAGTTGGAAAGCGCCACTTTTCTATCACGAATGTGCCAAATCTGCTGATGTAATTACAATCGCTAATGCTAGAGAAGGGTAGGGGGAGGCTGGGGGAGAGCTGAGCTCCCGTGCCTCCGTTGGTTAAAAAAAATGAGCCAATCACCATCGAGTGTTCACTTTCAGTGCTGAGGAGTGTTGAGAAAAGAAACCTCGTAGAGGAGGCTAGCCTCCCTTCTGATATCAACCAATCATCATAGAGACGTAAATTACGTGATATTAGTTTGAACGTCTGCCGCTGCGCTGATAATGTACCAAGTACTAATGATGAGTAGTGACATTGAATATTTGATCGCCAACAGATTTACCAAGCTGTCATTCAAACAGTATATATACAAATTAAAAATAAAGGGAGAACACGCCTAAGCTGGATACAGGCTAACGTTACAGCAGGCAGCTCTTTTAACACAGACTTTTAATAAGGGATGGATGTTTGCTTCAAGTGATAGGCCAGGTAAGTGAAATTATATTATCTTACTGTATGTGTCGTTTTCTTTACGTTTTCTGACTAAAAGCAACCAAAAAGCCATTTTAAAGTGGTTAAGCAAATAATAATAATATTAATAATAATAATCAGCAGGGATCCCTAGACCAATACAATCAGTGTGCCTCCTCTATTTGAAAACACACGAGCCGCCACTGCCCCTGACTCCGCATGACTTGTAGAGTTCTCAAAGATAGGACACCTAAAAATTTAATTTTTGTACAGGTAAACATCCCAACAGCACAAAGTTTTAATACATCCCTTCCAAGTTACCATCTTTCATGATATACCAAAATGCTGTATAATAATAATAAAAGACAGTTTCCTGCTTGCCAATGCCTTACTGCAGTCCCAGGTGGCAAGCGGTGACCATCTTGTGTCAGGCATCACATACAGTTTCTGTTTGATGAAGATGTAAGATAGCTCAGTGTTTTTGCATGTGAGGAAGGAGATGAAAGCCTTGTGACCGCATTCCGGCCTCTCGCAAGCCACCACACGTATACAGATAGCACACGTGTGTTCATGCAAGCATGCCGCCGTTTGATCTTATGATGCCTTTGAACATATGTGGTGAGCCTCAACTTCCTGAACATGGGTTTGGTAGCACAGTTCGGATGTCAGCTAAGGAAGATGTCGAATTTAACTGAAATCACTGATTTTATTTCCAATTATGGGTATGTGGTTGTTAATTATTGGGTATATGAAAGCGAGGGTGTTGGGTTGAGTGTTAAGCACACTGTCGTGGATGTGTGGGCTGTGGTGTGTTTGACAGTCAGAATGCAAAGGCTCAGGAATAAAGCTGCCAAGCTGGCTTACTGAAAATAGACCAGCGACCCTAAGAAAAGATCTTTTCAGAACGTAGAGGCAATTGGGCTGATTGGCTACAACACACTTCCGCCCACAAAGAGAATCATTAGGAATAAAGTGCGTTTAAAAGATACGTCATCCATAGCCAAAGTGTGCTCCACAAGAACTCGCTGTCGATGACCTTACATGTTGTCCTCCCACAGTACAGAGGAAGATAGAGTCAGAACATTCCGCTTCCCCTGGGAATTCCAGAAACCCCTGGAAGGGAAGCTGAGAACTGACTGTTCTCTCTGACCTGATGCCTTGTAAGCTTTTCTTGGCTAGCAAAAGCAGCTTAGGAAGTATGATCTTTGGTCAAGTAAGCAATGTAGACTCGCACACGTGCCAGGGCATGTTCACAGTGCATGCGTAGATGCACACTCATTCTATGGAAGGTTGACAAAGCTCTGGGTGTTTTGGGTGAGTCAGGAAGGACACACACCCCTGTGGCAGTCTTTGGGTTATGTCGGAAGAGTATAGCAGAGGACACTTGAGATTCAGAGGCCACTACTGCTCTGTCTTGCCCCACATTTACTGTGTTCTGTAAAAGAACACAGTGTTTCATCGCACATCTCGCTTCAAATGCAGCACGCATTGGTTACTAGTGGGTATGGTTACAGAAACAACACACAAACAGACCCACATCCTTGATGCCATCATAAACCTTGCTGTACATCCACACCCAACATTTTTAGACTCCTCCTTACTAGTACAACCAAATTCTTGAATTACAGGCTGAAATCTAGGAAGCAAGTAACATTCCTGAATGACACAGTCAGTTGAATATCATTAGCAACACCCTTAAAACCTGATAATGAAATTTGTATGTTTTTTTGTTTCTCCGTGTCAAAGTATGACAGTTTGCAGGCCTGGCAACTATGTAACTAAACGTTCAAAATTGGTGCAAGGACCAAATTGAACTTGAAATGTCCAACTTAACAATTGGCCACTGAAAAAATATATATATTATTGGGCAACTACTGACCGAAATATTGGGGTTACATGTCCTCCTCAATGTTTGTGGTGGTTACAGCCCTGAGGCCTATCACAGAGTGCCATGGCATATATTGAGTTATGCTTGGCCTAGGTACTCCTCATGGCATGCGGGACAAAGCTATCCAGCCATCCAATCAGTGGACCTCCTGAAGGTCATCCAATCATAACCAACCACATTGATCTGCACCCATGGTCCTTTGCTTTGTGTGTCATGGCCTTTGATCTGATTATGGAAGAGTCCTATGGCTGTTTGCCCTTCCACCACCGCTGCATGTGTATTTTTTGTGTTCGGATTAGGCGGCCTTCCGGGAAGTAAAATGAATTGAGTGGATTTTCTGAGAGAGAGTGGTGTGATCCAAACATCTGGTGACGTTTCTGTTTTCTGATTTCGTCGCGTTTGTTTTTGGGATCACCTCACGTTTATTAGATTATCCAAAGTGTCTACAACCTTCTGGCCAGTTGAAACCCACGTAATAGTGCCGAACAATAGAGAATCTGTGTTTTCCATGCACGCAGCCATCTGCTGAAGCTTTAGATATGGGGGCAGCAATCACATGACCACACATATAAACTCTGTGGGCATGTGAGTGGGGTCTGCTGGTCTGGGCTGTACGGAGCAGATTACAGCTCAGCACGTGTGAACTAATCCATGTGTTACTGATGGGCCAGAGCGGGCCTTGCTCCACCACAGCTGTTACTGTCTGAGTTTGTACATGCTCCTTTATTTCCCAGTGGATTGTAGCCATCGCTCTGCCTTTAGTGTGTGTTTATGTATGTGTGTTTAACCAGGGGTGCAGCAAAGGTATATCCTCAGCCCGATGTAGGTCTCATTCTGTCTCCCCCTACTAGAGATGGGTCTCAATGTTCGACTAGTTGCACAACAACTGACTGGAATGGAAGTGAGACTAGTTCATCCACATTTTTTCAATTGTTTGTTTGTAGTTTTTTATATTTTTAGTGCTGCTGCTTGTATCACATCTCACACAGTTTTTTGAGCATCCCACCATGAAAATTGCATTCAAGACCTGTATGAAGTAAAAAAAAAAAGTTAAAATTTTTTTAAACACTTGCAGCCTATTACATTACTTTGTGATCTGTTGATGCTGAATGAGACTAGTCCATCGACTAGCTATATGCTGGCAACCCACTCACTAATCGATTTTGAAAATATGTATTTTTGCACATCCACCCCCTTTCGTGTGTTGTACAGTAAGCTGTCATTGGTTCAGCCCATGCATGGCTCAAAGGCTTCTTTGTTTCCAAGCATGTTTACATATAGTGCCGTCATAGTGTCTGTCTCTACTCTCTTTCCACCGGTATCTGTCTTTTCCTCCTACCTCTTTATTCATATCCCTTTCATTCTCTCTATCCTGACTACCCCCACCTTCTAACTTTACATCTGCAACCATCTCTCCCGCACTTGTTCTCTGCCCACATTTGAAGGTTGCTTTTATTCTCAGCATGAGTGTACATTGCTTATAGGTTGGTACATCTCTCTAATGTCATGCTCGTGTTGCTTTTCTTCCAGTTTTTGGACAGATTACATGAGAACCGAGGACTAGCACCAATAATGGCCTCCCATATGTGTGTTTAAGTGGTGGGGGAGGATACCGCTCGCGTTTAATCTGAGAGCTGTTTGAGAGTTTGGGACTGTTAATGATATGATGGGGACACTTCTGCATGCTCACCCATTGTGACATCATAAAGCACATGGCCAAACCTTTAAATAAAGCAAGGCTGGTAATGCAGATCAAGCTGTCAGTCCTGCTGTATTGATCAGATCCGAACTAGGTCTTGAGAACCCAGAGCCTGTTCTTGCTTTGTAATCTGTGCAGTGGTGTGCAATACCCCAACCATGTGACACGACGGTTTAAAGGCATCATGTGAGGCAATGGAGAAAAATATACTACGGGAGAATCCATAGGAAAAAACCCTGACGTTTTTAGTGTGCATGCATTGCTGTACGGTAACTCCATGTCATCATTATGGCTCGGGGTTTCATCTATATTACATGCACGCGATGCTATAAATAGGTAGTTGATTGCGAGAGAGGATGCAGTTTGTGTTCTCACTTAAATAAAAATTCTAAGATTCAGGATGCATAGAAAGAGGTGCTGCGTGGGAAAGTGTGAGATTTCCTGCTGTTGAAGCAAGCTATGATTATACATGTGTATATATGGATAGTTGGCAAATAGCCAGGCCAGTATGTAATCTGCATACTTTTTTCCACACACTTGTGTGGGGAAAATGTGTTGAATATTTTGTTCTCAATGCAGATTATAATTTAAGAGTGTGTTTGAATGGCGTCGACCCCCTCTTGACCTTGACATTACTTATTACCGTGCTAGGCCCATAGCATTATGCCAACTCCATTCATTATTTACCAATAAACCAAGCAGAATCTGGAGCAAGCATGTGTTTTCAACCCCTAATAAAACCCCCACCACACCAGAAAACAGAAAGGACGGATCTATCTATCTATCTAAAGATGTATGTGTATAAACATTACAGTGCAAGCAAGTGCACATGAATGCATTATACATTATATATTGCATTTGTTTGATAATTAAATATAATCCAACATTTCATGATCGTGACAGCACTGACTATGATCGTGTGTGTGTTTATTTTTATGAGTCATTTAAAGGAAATGTAAAGATGTTTTGTCATAATAAAATTCTTGCTCTGGGTGTAAGAGAGAGCAGGTCTGAACATGCTCAAACATAAGAGGCACGTTTGATTTGAGTTATTATTAAATTGAGTTGTGGAGTTCTCTATATGACTAATGCAGAGGAGTATAAAACTTGGCATCTTCTACCAGCGTCAGATCTTGACCAGAAGAATAGACTCCGCTTGCAGCTTTGAAGCACAGATTCTGCACACCCACGATTATCAAGGGTTGTTCATTTACTCTGTTCCAAAACCAAATGAACTGCCCACAGAGGCAGCATTTTAAGGCAATATAGTTAACTTGTTTTAGTCACATTTGCCTTTGTGGAAAGGAAAAGGCAATCCCAGAATGCAGTGCAACAAAAAGTATCAATAAAAATGGTGTGCAGAATTGTGCTGTTAGCTCAATTGGAGTCAATTGTAAGTTGAGTTTCCCTTGCAGAGGGGTTTTTATTCGTCTGTGCATGTAAACTTTTTCATATCAGCCATTTATGAGGTTCAAAGACTGTTCACTATTAAAAATAAAGTTTGTGTTGGTGCCAATAGCCTTGTGGGCAGCGCACCGACATACAGCGCTGTTGGGCTATGGGCGTCCCAAGTTCGAATCCTGACTTGAGGACTTTCCCGATCCCACCCCCATCTCTCTCCCACTTCACTTCCTGTCCCGTCATAATAAAGGCAAAAATGCCAAAAAATAAATCTTAATAAATAAAGGTTGTAAAAGTTTTTTTCTTTTTTTTTGCAGTGATGCCATAGAACAACTGTTTGCGGTTCCCCAAATAACTTTTCAAAGAACAATTTTTCTTAATGTGAAGGACATTTGAAAAATCTAAAGAACATTTTTCCACTATAAAGAACCTTTTGTAAAGTAGAAAGGAATTTTGCAACAAAGCTAACGTGATAAAGTTCCTGTATGTTACATAACTTTACTGCGCATGCATTGTCGTTCGAACTGCAAGTTATTCATAGTAACTGAAACACACCTAACTTTACCTAGATCATATTACATGTCAATTTTTTTTTGTGTGTGTTTTTGCATTGGTTTCTGTTTTGATTTCTCGCATTATGCAACCAATCTTTTTAGGTACCACAGAAACTGAGGTGTTTAATGAGTGACGTAATAATTTTTTCACTTAGCCTGCGAGACGACATACTTGGTGATTGTTGTTTGGCACGGTCTCTTGTCTGCCGACTGAAACAAAGTCATTTATCACGCCACACACACACACGAAAGCAAACACGCGCACATATATACGGCCTTCCCGACAAGCACTGTTTGAGTGCGTGCCGTGACGCTGTCATGTCTGGAGACATATGATATGTAGATAGCGTGAGAAGTACTTTAAAGATATTTGGGTTACTTCTGGTTGCTATGGTGAAGGGGTTGTAGGGCAAAATGGGTGTAGATGAATTAGAGGCCTGGTGCAGTCATTTGTATGCGCTACAAGTAAGTCTAAAATACCAGTCTGCTCCCTACAGCCATTAATGCACCAGGTTGATCAATCAATGTCCACACACACCAAGGCAGACACTGGAGCGTCTGTCTGTCTGTCTGTCTATAGTTCTATTATGTCTACCATTCTTTGGTTCTAGCTGTTGTTCTTTATATGGTTCTATTGTTCATTCTTAATTTTGATTTTATTTCAAGTATTTAAAATACTTATTTTTAGTTTTAGTTAACACTAATAACTGTTAGACACACAGGTCACTTTTGCAACAGAAAGGAAATAATCTCAACCTCAACTTTTGAGTTCCTAGAATGGCATGTGTGTGTGTGTGTGTGCTTTGTGTTTAAGCCAGAGAATGAGGTGTTGTCTCGTGTTGTCTCGGTTGGTCAGATCACACAGGTACAGCGAGTTCATTGCGTTTTTTCAGGGCGTGTGCGTGCGTGCGTGTGTGTACGAGGCTGACGTTTCGGTTTGTCATTTTTCAGGCGAGCCAACCTTCGTTTGTGTCTGGAGCGATTGAAGACTCTCATCCCCCTGGGACAAGACTGCAGCCGCCACACCACTCTGGGACTGCTCAACAAGGCCAAAACACACATAAAGGTAAACACACTTGAGAGGAGCTCCTAAATTAAACTAATGATGTCGGAGCTGCTGTCACCACAGTCGAGCTAGGTGGGTGTGGTTTCAGCAGCCAGCTCCCGCCTCTTTGCCCATTTTCGATTATCCGGAAGTGACGCGCGGTGACGCGCTGCCAAGATGGCAACAGCTGGCTCCGCCTACTTTAGGCTTCAAAACGCTCGTCGGAAGTCTACGGGTTACGTCACGGACACTACGTCCATGTTTTTATACAGTCTATAGCTCTGCCACACTGAGCCATGGTGCTCATGTGGGAAATATGAGTTTGAATTTGACTCGCCTCATTTACTCATCCTGTAGCCCCTGTCTCTGCTTGTGATCTCCTGTCCAGTCTAAACAACATTTACTGTTACTTCTTTGTCAAATTAATTCATTTATTTGATTCATTCATTTATTTATTTATTTTTTAATTTTGACATTTTGACATTATCGCATTGGCGGATAACCACACAGCTGATAAGACACCAGAAACTTCCAAACTCTTCCATATGTCAATATGAATAACTATCAACAGCATATTCGGTGTTATTTTAGTATTATTAATATACCATTAAAATATTTAGTAATGTTTTGAATTGTTTAATTGTTTAGTGTACGTTTTAGTAATTATTATTTCTTTTTTTTTCATGTTTTTTTTGTCTGCCTTTAAGTTTTAATTTTTAATAATTTTAGTATATCAACTTAAACTTGTTTTATGTCAGGCAGTTGCCAAAGCTTTTTTATTTTACTTTTTTAGTTTAAGTTTTGCATGTAATATTTGTATTTTATTTCAAATGAACTTCAATTAACTAAAAATGTAACAGTTTTTTTTTTTAATAGTTTTCGTTTTTTGTTACCAATAACACTGCAGTAAAACACTAAAACACTTTCTTAATTAAAAACGTTTTAGAAGTAAAGAAATTAACAGTAGTTTGAAAAATAAATGTTCATTCACATGAGAAAGTCTGATCAGTAGCCAAGTAAAAGCTGTTTTATTTATTGTATGTAAAAGACTACACTTATATAAAATATTCACATCCGCACATTTAAACAGCTACAACACCTTACAAAAAACCCACAGCTTCCTGTAAGCAGAGCCACATCCCTTAATGTGACAAATCTGTTTCTATGCCTTAATAGCTTTTTTGTAAAACACATGTCAAGCACTAAAGACAGATACTTTATATTGTTGAAAATATGTATCTTATAATAACCCTGTATTTTCAGTTTGGCTTTCATTCTGATGTCGTACTGGTTTTCCCCTAATAACAGGTTAAGCTGTCCCGACCAGTTATGTGTGTGTGTGTGCGCGCACAAGTGTGTGCGTTAGTGGTTGTAGCTGGGGTCATGCTGAATAGTTCTAGCGTAATGTATTATAAGGTCACAAAGGTCACATGGGGGGGTGGTGTGGGGGGGGTTATTGATCCGAACTGGGTTCAGAACTGTAGTAAACAAATCCATTAGTCACATGAGCTTGACAAAACACACACCTCTTTAAATCACTCGTCCTGCTATTTCATATAGCATGATGTTAATGAAGTTGTTTAAAATTTTGGTTAGTGCTCTTGCAAATCAATGCAGGTTTGAATCTGGCTTACAACATTTCCCAATCCTGAAGTGATAAAAAGGAACAAAATAAATTAAAGGTCTTGTAGCGCTGAACTTATCTTTACTTATGCATTAGCTGTAATAACTATTGATTACACCATGAATTCTTTTGTGCGTGCCGTTAGTGATTTTCTGTAATTATCCGTGAGTCACTGTTCTTTGTCTTCAAACAGAAACTGGAGGAAGCGGAGCGTAAGTCTCAGTATCAGTTGGAGAGTTTGGAGCGAGAGCAGCGTCACCTCCGGAGGCGACTGGACCTGCTGCGGGGCGGCGGGGGCGTGCTGGAGGGCGTGCTTGAGGGCGTGCTGGAGGGTGAGAGGATACGCACTGACAGTGTAGGCTCCACCCTCAGCTCCGAGAGATCCGACCGCTCTGACTCAGACCAAGGTTGGAGCTTCATGTGTTTATATATCTATTATATATAATGTAAACTGAAATAAATACATCTTATTTATACATTTATACATCGTATCTATCTATCTATCTATCTATCTATCTATCTATCTATCTATCTATCTATCTATCGTTCTGTCATTCTATCTATCTGTCTGTCTGTCGTTCTATCGGTCTATCTATCTATCGTTCTATCTATCTATCATTTTATCTATCTATCATTCTATCGTTCTATCTATCTGTTCTATCGTTCTATCTGTCTGTCTATCTGTCATTCTATCTATCTATCTATCGTTCTATCGTTCTATAGTTCTGTCTCTAATGTCAAGCTAGATATCTTTTACCACTTCATGTGACATACCTGATGTGATACACGATGCTATGAACATGTTGTCTGACCTTTTCTCTTTCTCTCTGTGAACACAGAAGAGATGGAGGTGGATGTGGAGAGCACAGAGTTCTCTCATGGAGAGCTGGACAGCGTCAGCACAGCTAGCACCAGCGATCTGGACGACCACAGCAGTCTACAGAGCACTGCCAGCGATGAGGGCTACTCCTCCTGCAGCATCAAACTGGCCTTCAGCTCATAAAACGAGCTCCCCTTTATACACACACACACACACACACACTATCCCAACCCTCGAAGTGAGTCCTGCCTCCTACCCACCTTTCCCTCCTCGACCAATCAGAGACTCTTATTTAAGTCAGGTGACCAGAACACCACCCGCCCTATAGAATGCCTGATGTGTTGTTTTAAGTTTGCGAATGTATCTGAGAGAATATGAGTGAGATGGAAACAATCTGTGATTGTGATTATAATTGGGTTATTAGATGGTTACATTCCTGAATAAGAGACTTTTCTGATAATTGTCATTATCCAAATCCCCTTTTTCCGAAAGGAAAGCTAAGATGTATAAAATAGATGTTTAATTTTTAATTCAAACCCCTGATTGTTAATTCTCTACATGAATGGGTCGTGAACTGGATCACCTGACATGTTGTAACTCCATATCAACCCAAGAAACCCAAACCTGTTGATTTTCTTCTCATCCGGTCTAATGGTTCTAACGTCGCTGCTCAACGGCGATGAGGACTGTCATTGGTGCTACGTGACAAAACCAATAAAGCAGAAGCATCTACTGCATTCATCAAAGACGACTTTTTGGTGCATTAAACCGTGGAGCTACTTTCCACGCAGCAGCTAAAACCCAGCGATCTTGCACTTGACCGCGTAGAGCCCTCCGTAGAACTGGCGCCACGTCAGAGAAATATCCACCTCTGTGTTTAACTATAGATGTCTCTCTTGGCAGAAGTAAGCAATAAACTCTTGTAGTCAGATCAACACATTAGCACTCCTACTCCTGAGACACAACCCCTGTGTCCGTCCAAAAGAGCAACGCCAACTTGCTCGCTTTTGTACATAAATACGATAGTTTAATAAATTAAAGTTAAAATAAAAACTGAGTTGAAAAAAAGGTAGTTACCCATGGGTAGAAATTGCTGTATGTCTTGTGTTTTGTGCATTTTAAATTATATTTTTGCAAAGATTGACTATCTTCCTCTTGAGAGTCTTTTGCGGTGGCATGGACAGTATTATTTGTTCATTATGCTGGATGAAACCTAAGTAGTTTCAATTCTGTGGCTGCCCGAGGAATTTGACGACTTTCTTTAAACAACCAACACACTGAAGTACTTAAAATCGGACACACAAGAACGAGTGACCGCAGGCAGTGGTCGGTGGGATGCCAAAGCGCGGACCTCTGTTTAAGGCATGCTAACTCTGAGTGGCGCTCTTTATTTATTCGATCTTCTGTTCAGAATTGTAATTGTTTTAAAGCTGAAAGGCATTCCACTACTTGTGTCGTGTGCTGTGGATGTGGAGCGGCGCATGCGCCACGAAACTCTTGCTTCCCGCTGTACTGTATGTTAAACTCGTTAATTTCTTTATTTTGTGTGAGAAGAAGCATTCAGACTTGATTAACTTTCCTCAAGTAACTTCGTATTTATCTTCTCCCCTTGATCCGAAATCGGAGGAAATTAAGGGTTGGCTTATTTCATTCGTCAAATCTTTGATGGCATTCCCCTCCCTTTTAGTTTCCTAATTCTCTTCTAAACCGTAACCTCACTCCGTCTGTGATTTATTATTTTTTATTTTATATTTCCTCCCCAAATGCAAATTTAGTGCGTTTTAAAGCCAAGTCTAATTTGTAAGCGTTCTGCCTGCAATAGAGCAACACGGACATCTGCTAGGTGTCCCGATCCAGCACCAACCAAATGATTTTGGCTGCTGAACGGCCCCATATGTGTGGAGTAGTTGTACTTACCCCAGTTAAGAGTTTTAGTATGGACTGTTTTAGTCGGGTGTAAATTCATTGTTTAGAACAAACTGAGGTGAACGTCACGGAGGCGTTTTTTTTCACGTGCGTTGGTGCTTCATCAACCCCTGGCCAAACCTCTGCTGTCGTCCTCACAAGAGGACATGTTGCTTTTGTCTTTTGTCTATCCTTTTCATTCATATTGTTTTATTGGTTTATGAATATGCACTATTTAAAGCCAGGGCCCATACTGAGATGCCGGTGCTTTTAGTTTAGTTTTATTTTATTTAATTTTTGAAGAGAATGGACCGTGTCCTCTTGAGGCCACCGTGTACCGATCCAGATCCGAATTCAACGACACTTCCCAGAGAAGTGGTGCTGGTCTGGGATCAGCTCTCAGTCGCTCCGGAGGAAAAAAAAAATGCTAAACGGATCCTGAAACAGCATCTGTGTTTTGTCAAGAGACAAAAAAACCGGGGGTCTGTTAGAGGCGAAGCTTTTCCACTGGGAAGGAACAGAGGTCCAGATGAACTTGTGGCCATTCTTTGTAAACATCCACTCTGATTCTAGCTGTGAGTTAAAATGCAATACTTACAATAAACACCAAGATTGTCAAAAAAAAGATCAGGAAATGCTTTGTGTTTCTCTTCATTTTCTGCTTTATTGACTTAAATCTTAGTACTAGTCGTTTTAGTACTGACACACATGCACACAATTATTTTCCCCACACAAAATATGAACTACTTTAAGAAAATACAAGAGCCATTTTGTCTAGTGGCATGTGCCTCTGCAGTTTGGGATGTGATATCAGAATACAAACAAATCACTTTTCAATTGGCGCCATCTAGAGGCCAACTTAGTACATTAGCATTTTCTGTTGAGCACCCATAAAACTGATGGCGCATGTTTTTATTGTAATGAAATATTTTTTATTATTGATGTTGTTAAAATTTGAAATTTCTAATACAATGTTGATACGATCTCAAAACAAACGCTGTTCAGAATTTTTTTTATTATTATTAGTCCTCTGCTGCCCTCTGCCCTCATGTTTACGAGGTACGGCCTGAAAACACGGTTAAACCTTTGAGGCTCTTCTGAGCACCCACTAGCACCCTATGGTCTCCAAAGTGTAGGCCCAATGCAAATTGGTTTACCTAGTTAATTATCAAAATTGTTCTAGGTTGAACAGTCTTGTTTTGGTGTTCTGTTTTAATGTAGAACTAATAAATATCTTCTTAGAACGTCTATTTCATGTATAATACGGGTTGGTACCGTTTTGACGAATGTCTGTTTGTCAGATTATAAAAGTGTGCCTTTGGCTCCTAAGCGCCAGACTCGCACCCAGTCCAAGCGTGCGCTGGTGCCTCACCCCATATGCATGATGTTTTAATTATAATGAAATATATTTTATGATTGTTGATGTTGTTAAAATATAAAATATTTCATACAATGTTGATACGATCTCAAAACAATGTATTACTGAATTCATCTATGTAGAATACGCATGAAAAATTGTCATAGAAAACTTTCTGCTTTTCACACACAATATATCAAACCGAAGACAAATATTATAACAATAAAAAGTTTATAAAGTCTGTAAATTAAAATAAATTTGTGTGCAAAAGGGTTCAATTTAATGAAAGCAAACAAGCACATATGAAATACATCAAATTTTGAGGCTTATTCTACAAAGATGAATTCAGTTGGCTGGTGTGTAACCTGATGCCATTACTTGATGTTTTACATTTATTATTATTCTATTATTAGTAGAAGTAGTAGTCATTTGAGACACACATCTCTGAAGAGTCAGCCCTCATGCTTTCTGCCGGCTGTGCTTTCATTGCCACACATGACCCGGCTTTAGCTGACAGGCTGCATGATGCTGCTGAAACCAGTACCAGCTTGATGCAACATCAGGCCAAAATCTGCTGTGAGTCATGTTTTTTATTTACCAATTCTTTATAATCATAACAATCATTGCTTGTAAATTGGACTACAAATGATATGCTGTATGTTTGCAAATAACGAAATAAAATTGGTTGATTAGAGTCATTTTCTCCTGAATCAGACACTTGTTGTGGCGCTGTTTATTGGGTGAGGGTGGATAAAATAGCACATTTTGGTTATTGAGATTAAATATGACTTTAAAAAAACGATGGCTTTAAAAACACAATAAAAGCATGCTTGACTTAACAACGTTGGTGTTGGGCATTAAGTGTTGAAAAAAGTGTGTACAGTGTGGTCAGGGCAAACTTGACAGATCTAGTAACTGATCTGGGATCAAATGTGAGCATAAACTGTCATCTTGATGAAAATTATGTTAATTTGATTTTACTGAAAACAGCAGATCCTCCAACAGTCATTCTACGATC